CTGTGGGTTGTGATTCTTTTAGGGGTCAAATGACCTTTTCACAGGGGTCACAGGTCACCTAAGACCATCAGAAAGCACAGAGATTTACATTGCAATTTCTAACAGTAGCAAAATTACAGGTATGAAGTAGCAACAAAGTAATGCTATGGTTGGGGCTCACCACGGCACAGGACTGTATTAAGGGGTCACAGCATTAGGACGTTTGATTGCTGCTTCCCTAGAGGACATCGGTGTTCGTTTGATCTTTCTCTGACCTCCTCAGAAGGGCAGGGGCACAGCCTTCTTTGTCATGGGTGCCCTCTGCCCAGAATGGCTTTTGGTGGGATGAAGGGAGAGCGAGGCACACGCTACAACTGGCTCATTCTCCCGAGGATGACAACACTTGTCCTATTTCCCACCTCTCTAAACTGAGCTTAGCACCTTGTGCTTAGGTGACTCTGACCGGCCAGGGCCACATGACTTGGCCTGTGAGCCTTCAGCACTGTCACCGCTGGGCCCTGGGCGTGTGATACTGGAGAAGGAAATAGCTTTCACCTTCCAGAAGTCCTTCCCTTCCCCCAGGAAGAAGGCAGAAAGTCCTTCCCTTAGGTGGGCTGAGTAGTTTCCTTCAAGGAGGAAGTGGGGGAGAGGAAAGGGGGGGTCCCTGGAAGTGCAGAATCAAGAGCTGAGAAAAGGGACCAGCACCCCCCAGGAAAGCTTGCTTAACTCATTCAAATGGCTGAACTGAAGGTCTGAGCATCCACTTCCCCTGCTGAGAATGGACATATCAGTGGTCTTGCTCTTCTCTCTAGTTAGTGGTGAAATGCTGGGTGTCTTCGTAAGCCTTGCAACCACAAGACCCTGAGCTGGAATCTCCCTGATAGACCAAGCAGCTGCAGGAAGATTTGGAATTTCTACGAGCCACGCCACGAAGTCCTCCTCTATAAAATGGAGATACTTAGAGCTAGCTCCCAGGATGAGAAAATTATGTAGGTGCCTAGCATGTACCAAGAGCTGAATAATGTTGGTTGTTTCCGAACAAGATAACCCTGCTGACTATGTAAGGAAAAACCTGGAAAGGTTTTTGCTGAAAACCCGGAAGGGTTCATTGCTGAAAAGAGGTGGGCAGGTCTGGAGTGCAGTTTAGTGGGAGATTGTGTGGTTTGAGTGTGTAAGACCCGAGGGTTCAGTCCCCAGAAAGGAAAGAAAAACAGAGGGACAGAGTCAAACTTCTCAGAACTGGTTGATTCATTTAGCCAAGTATGGGGTGTGGCTCAAAGGAATGAGGAAACTGTCCCAGAGGTGACCCGGCACACAGCACAATTTTCCCTTAAAGATCTGGGGGTAGAGGGTAATGTTCCCTGACCCTTCCAAAAGCTCAGAGGCCCTTGTTCCTCATCTCAATGCTACTTTTGTCATCTCCTTGTCTCTTCTCTGGCCTCCCCACGGAGCCTGGTCACCAAATCCTATTGCTGCTTCTTTTATAATGATAACAACCCTGTGAGACAAGTGATACTTTGAAAGTTATACAGGCTTTCTTATACACTATCCCAGTAAGCTTTCACTCCCATTCAAACAAGTTAGGAGGGGCCTGGAGATCACTCTGCATGCTGGAATCTGTGGGGGAGAAGGTGGTCCCCCACAGGCAAGCAATAAATCCATGGCAGAGGCAGGATTAGAACCTAGGGGTCCTAGCTCAAGTCCAGGTCTCCTTTCAAGTCTCACCTGCCCTTGGGTTTCTATTTTCGGATTTCCTGGGCCACTGCAGTCTTCCCCCTGGTGGGAATGTGTCCTGGTGAGCCCATAGTGCCTCCATCAGAGTGTGTGGGACCCACAGGTGAGTCCTGTGATCAGCTGGGCTCCATGGGGCAGCACAGATCACCACAGCCCTGATCCTGACTTTTCCTCCTGTTAGAACCGGGCTTGTTTCTAACAACCTGGAGGGGTCGTCTCCTGGCTCTTGGCTCTGCCTCTCAGTGAAGATGTGGTGGTCATGATCTCTCTGTGATTAGGTATTGGCCGGAAGTTGTTCATAGTGGCCTATTCCAATTTGGGGTAGGTCTAAACATTAGAGAGGGCTTTTGTTTATTTTGTTTTTCTTTCTTTATTTATACAACATCCTGCCTGCATGTGTGCCTGTGCACCAGAAGAGGGCGCCAGAGCTCACTATAGATGGTTGTGAGCCACGATGGGATCGCTGGGAATTGAACTCAGGACCTTTGGAAGAACAGCCAGCCAGTGTCCTTAACCTCTGAGCCATCTCTCCAGCCCCTCTAGAAAGTTCTTTATGTTGAGCTGGACTCAGCCTCCTGGATGGATGTCTACCCATGAGAGCTAAATGTGATTCCTTCAAAATCATCCAACCATAAAATTTGTAATCAGTGTTTCCCATGAGCCAGGTCTTGGGACTAGGGGCTAGGGGAACCCACAGAGCTGCTCCCCATGGAACAGCAGAGGAGCCCTAGGGGTTCCTGTACACAGATGGTTTCGTCTTGCTCAGTAGACACAAACGCAGTACAGGGAACCGATCACATCCCCTTTTTGGGTGGCAGCTTGCAGATGGCTGGAGATAGGCACCACACCCTTCCCCAGGCCACTTGCGGACACATCGTATCTCGAGGTGCCCAGCTCCTCAGCATTCTGGTCTCCTCCTCTAGATATGCCCTGTGTGCCTCTCCCAGATGCGGGGCCTAGAGCTGAGTCCTGTGCTCCAGCCGGGATCCCTCTAGGGCAACAGGGGAAGCTGCTTTTACCTATGGTGTTGGCTGATAAAGTGTATTCACACACACACACACACACACACACACACACACACACACACACACATATACATACTGCATTATCAGGCCCAGGGTCAAGTAAAAGTCTTGACTTGATTTTCATGGAAACTGCTGTTAATCTAAATTCTTCTATAGCACATCTTGTGCATGTTGATTCCATGGAGACACTCTCTCTCCCTACCCCCTCCACATACATACACACACACACACACACACACACACACACACACACACACACACAATGTGGCTGTGGCTAGCAGCTACAGACAGCATCCAGAGTTCTCTCAGGCGGCTCCGGTTTAGACCTCAGGACAGGACTTTTTACACTTATTCTGGGTAGCAGCTCATCCTGTTCCAGCTGTCTTCAAGCCTGCTGAGCTGGGGGAAACCTATTCTGGTTTCCGCAGTGCTCTGGTTCTCTCTCTCTCTCCTGACAGCAGCAGATCTGATAACACTGATAGCACTGATAACCACCCCTCTCCCCAGAGGAGAGGGCATTAGGACCACACCCATCAAATAGTTCTTTCATAAGTTAGGTCTCTGAATCAGGGTCTGTGCTTGGCACCAGAAAATTACAGGGGGACAATAAATTAATCCATAAACGCAGTCCTGCTGTGGTGGGTGCTAACTCTGGGAGGTCAATTACCTTCACCTCATATTCAGGGCTGGCCTGATGGTTAAATGCGGGGGTTCACGATCAGCTTCCAGGATCCTGGCCGAGGCGCAGTGACTGTGTGTGAACTTCTAACCCCCGCTATAACTGCAGAGATTAAATGAGTTAAAGCAAGTGCTGCTCTCAGGACAGCGTCTGGAAGGTAACTGTTCCAAGGAAGCAAATTGTTGGTCCCCACGATTAACTTAACCTGCATCCTGGAGTTTCCTCCGTGCTAAGGAGGAACGCTGGGTGGGCGCTGCGGAGTCCTGTGTTAGAGCCTTTGTTTCCTTGGTTTCCTTTCTTAGTTTATCAGTGCCCTTGCGGGTCCACCCCAGGCCTCCTCTTCTGGGTTTATCTAGTCAGCTGTTCGGATTGTGATCTGCTCCTCGAATCCTACACTGGAGCGTTGAGGGTGGGGAGGAGCCAGCATGGCCTTGGCTTTGACTAGCTGCTATACCTGGGCCCCTTAGGGGGATCACAGCTACCACTCACCAGATGGTTAGGGCCAAGTGAGGCAAGAAGGCCCTAACATTTAGGAGGAGTCTCCTGCCCTGTTGCCACCCATGTCCAGACTCGAAGTAAAATCCCCCACAAGTTCTTACATTTACTTCTTCCTCATTTCTTCCCATCAGAGTCTAACAAAGGAGGCTCAATGTTCCTGGCCTTTCCGAGGTCGGCCTCTTGCCGTGGGAACATAAGCTCGGGCTCTCCATCTCTATACTGGGGCACTGAGGGACGCCCTACCTTGTCAGGATGCTATTCTAGGTCCGCTGTTTTTGGTTAGTTTGCCCCTTTCCTATGCTTGGCTTTAAGTGTGTGTTCAAAGCAGGACCTTCGGCAGGAGCCAGAAAAAGTCTAGGGCAGACACGATCCTAATTCAAAGAAGCGCTTTACTTTGGGCATGCTTGGGTCTGTGGGTCCCGGGGTCCCCGGACCAGGGGCTAGGCCCCTGCTAAGCTCCCAGAGAGGGCAAAGGGGCTTCCACCTGAGGCGGGCTGGAAAACGCTGCAGGGCTCTTCGAACAATAGGAGGGAGACCGGAGGTTGGTGGGCGTCGGCCAGGTCCCCGCTGGAGGCAGAGGAGGCCAGTGGTGCCGCCGGCGCACCGGGCTAGCCCAGGCTAACAACTGGTCACAGCGGAGGAGCAGCGGCCTCGGGACCCGCGGCGATCCTCTGGGTGCGGCCGAGCCCACGGGCCTGGGGACGTGGAGGAAGAGGAGGCTGCGCGTGGAGTCTCCCCCTCGCGGTCCCTCCTCGCGGGCCTCCGGGCTCCGCCGAGGCTCAGGTGGAAGCCTGGCCCACGTGGGGAGGAGAGCGGCGCGGGCTGGCAGGGCGCAAGCCCCTCCGAGCCGCCCTCCCCGGCTTCTGGGCTCCGGGGCCAGCGGCTAGCGCTCTCGCCGCTTAGCACGCCCTCCGGACGCTGCCTGGCCGGGCTCGCCACGGCCTCCTCCTCCTCCTCCTCCTCCTCCTCATCCTCCTCCTCCTCCTCCTCCTCCTAGGGAGCCGCCGGGGCGGGGCAGAGGGGGAGAGGGGGTGTGTGGAGCGGGCGGGAGGGAGGGGAGGGGAGGGGAGGGGGCCGAGCGCCGTGGGAGGGAGCGGAGGAGCGAGCGAGGCGCGGGGCACTTCTGCGCAGCTCCTGAGCGCCTCGGAGCCGCCTGGACCGAGAGACAGACAGACAGACAGACAAACAGACGCACGGCTCCCGGAAGCTGTGCCCCCGCTGCCAGGCTCGCAGGGCGCGGAGACCGTCCGGAGCCTCGCGTGCCGGAGGACGCGCGTGGCCGGAGCCGCGAGCCTCGATCCCCGTCCCTGCGGGTACGTGTGCGCGCGGGCTCCACGTCTCCCGGTGTGCGCTGGATGTGAACGCGCCCGGGTCTGTGGGTCTTTTCGAGTGGATGCTCGGCGTCGTGCGCGCGTGTGCATCCGAGGAAGGGGCCGGTCGGTGCGCTGATCTGGGTGAGGGTCGGCGCGCGTGTCTGCGTGTGCCTCTCCGCGGAGGTGCCTGGAAGAGGGTGTGTCCCAGTGTGGAGCCGCGTGTACCTCTGGAGGAGGGTGTGTGCCTGCGCGGATGGCTTCGCTCGCGGCTGAAGCGCTGGCGGGTGTGCGCGCGTGTGCGTGTGTGTGTTTCGCTGTGTGCACGCCAGCCGGTGTGACTCCCCGCGTGTGCGCGTGTGAGCCCCCGCGTAGCCCCCGTGTGCGTGTGCTCGGCTTTGTCTCCGCACTGCCAGGAGGAGGGGGTGGGGGCGGCGGCCGAGGCGCTGGCGTCGCCCGGAGCCCGGCCCCGGCCGGGGAAGTGGGCGGCGGCGGCGGCGGCGGCGGCGGCGGCGGGGGCGCCCTCGCCCAGCCGAGGCTCCCTGCCGGCAGGTGGGCAGCCACACCCGGGGTTCGCCCTTCTGACAGCCGAGCCTGCCTCCCGGCGGAGCTGGGCGGAGGGCGTGGCCTGCCTGAATCCCGGGAGTGTGAGTGTGAGGGGTGGGTGTGTGCGGGCGTGGGTGTGGGGTGCTGGGAGAACCCGGCGGCTTCCGAGTGGAGTGGGGACCGTCACCGGGGCCAGATGCAGCCCAGCTTGGTCCGCGGCGCTCCCACCTTCACCCTCAACGCCGGGCAGAGCTCCAGCCTAGGTACCCTAAAAGGACGAGTAAGACCAATCACTGTCTTAAAGGGCCAGCGCCCCGCTCGAAGGAATCCCCTTCCCGGGAGGCCTCTGTACTTTGAGAGATGTGTGTCTGTACCGTGTATTGGGCACCGCATGCATGTCTAGTCTCTGTGCCATGTGTGCGTTCTCCCTGTCTATTTTTTGTGCATGTAGCTGCATGTGTACATTTTACTGAGGAACAGGAAATGTACATGGACTTCTGTTTTGATAAGTTCTGGTGTGTTTGTTTTCCTGTGTGTGTAGCTGTGGTGTATGGGGGAGCCTGCTTGTGGAGCAGCGAGAGAAGGGCCATTTTGCTGCTAACTGGAAGAACAGAGAGAGCCCCCCCTCCTCCCCGTATTCGAAAAACGAGGTGAAAAGGAAGTCCAGTTCGGGGATTTAGTCTCTGCCTTTGCAGGCTTTTAGGTGGGTGGACTGGATCTAGAGAGGCTGAGGCTCCCACAGAGGGAAGGGAAGGACAGGCAAGCAAGCTCCCACCTTCTCCTGGCTCTTCTCCCTAACTTCACTGCTCTTGGCTGCTTGGCTTGTGTACAGGGATAAGTGTGCAGGATTTGGAGTAGAAAGGGAGGGAGCTGAGTGTGTAAAAGGGGGACAATTGGATAGTGATAGAATGGGGGTGAAGCTGGGGTTCTTATCTTTCCCTGAATACACACCTCAGGAGAGGTGCTGGGTTCCAGGGGTCTTTTTTTTTTTTTTTTTTTCCCCAACAACCAAACTCTTCTGTGTTTAATATTTATTAAGCTTCTTTTCTCCTAAGGACTTTGACCTTCCTGCACCTCAGACTCTCTGGTTAGATGGTGAGGGAGCTCAGTGTTGGATCTTTGAGGCTGGACTTTGTTTTTTTTTTTTTCTTTAAATATTTATTTGGTTTTATTTTATATGCATTAGTGTGAAGGAGTCAGAGCACTTGGAATCAGCATTAACAGACAGTTGTGAGCTGCCATGTGGGTGCTGGGAATTGAACTTGGGTCCTTTGGAAGAGCAGACAGTGCTCTTAACCACTGAGACATCTCTCCAGCCCTGTTTTTTGTTTGTTTTTTGGGACAGGATTTCTCTGTGTAGCCCTAGCTGTCCTGGAAATCCCCTAGTAGACCAGGCTCTGGGCACTGGGATTAAAGGTGTGCACCATTGTGCCCTGCGAACTCACTGTTCTTAAACTTTTTTTTTTCTTACATTTTATATGTATCTGTGTGTGGCGGGGTTGGGGGGGGGCAAAGGTCAGAGGATAACTTTCAAGAGTCCATCCTCTCCTATGTAGTGGGCATCGGGGATTGAACTCAGGTCATCAGGCCTGGTAGGAAATGCCTTCACCCGCTGAGACATCTTGCTAGCCAGGAATTCACCCTTCTTGCCCTCAGAGATGCTGGCTATCCTCTCTACTCACCATCTGCCACTTACCAGAGCCCAGAGCACCAGCCCTGGTGTGGTCAGCTTGCCATCTGCAGCAGGGTTACCAGTTTATTAGCAATGCAAATTTGTCGCCTCCTGGTAGACCTACACCGTACAAAAATAAGCAATCTATGTTTTAACAAATGCAAATTAGTCTGACCTGTTCTGCAGCCCTCAAGAGGAGGCAGGAACTTCTAGGTTGAAACAAGGGAAATCCCTTCCTTCTTGCAGTCTGCCCTACATGTACCTGAAGTAGACCCAAAAGCCTCCATTACTAGGTAGGGGTTCTGGCTGCAGGCCCCAGGTCTTCCTTGTGATCTTAGACAAATAACTCCTTTGCTGACCAAAGCAAAAATCTCACCCTGTAGCTTCCTCCCATTGCTCATTTTCTCCAACCCTTACCTTAACTTACAAGAAGGCGGATACAGTCTAGTCCTTGCCCACGTTTCTCTGGGACCTGCTGCCTCCGACTTCAGTGTAACTGTGTGGGAGGAGACAGGGCTTGCCGCCCCCCCTAGGTTAGGGGACTATTAGCCTTTAATCATTCTTGGTGCTCCTGTCCCCCATAGGGCTTTGTGTGTGTGTGTGTACTTATACCTGAACTTGTTTGATTGTCTCTCTCAACTAGACTGTAAATGCCACCTGGTCAAGGACTTGCTTATTCATCTTCCTAGTGTCCCGCATGGTGTCCGGCTTTTGATTTGTCTTCCGTAAGCCTGTCGCACAAATTAATGTCTAAAATAGGGGATGAGGCTAAATGACACCCTTTCTTAAGTCCCTCCCTAAGCTTTCTTGCCGTACTTCTATCCAAGCAGGACATGAATTGTTTTCAGGCAGGTTCCATCTTCTTTCCCACTCCTGGCTGTAGAGCTCTCACTGTGTGGCCCCAGTTGGGATGGCTCTGCCTGGAAGGGAGGGGAACGCTCCTGGGAGACACATCCTTGCTTCTGTTCTGTGTCCTCCTGAAACAGGATCCCATGAGAGTGTGCAGAGGATGAGAGTGAATGAGGAACCTAAAGACTTGGGGTGTGGCTGGACACACCACTTTTCCTCCTTTGCATGTTTCTTCTTCCATTCAATGACGGTGTTGGGGTGTGCAGTCGGCCCTCTTGATCCAGTGGGGATTTAGTCCAAGACTCCCTAGGAGATGTCTAAAAGTGAATAGTACTGAATTGCATACATACCATATATTTTTTCCCCTCCATAACCAATCACACCTCCCCACCCTGGGCAGTATCCTCGTGCGATATATATAATTTTTTTTTTTTTTCACATTGAGCTGAGAACTTTCATCTTTTCACTTACAGGAAGTGCTTTTGTGGCTACTCTGGTATATCTCCGTCGCTAACATCACTATTGTTAGCCACCAGGGCCATTATTGTGTAAAGTAAGGGTTGAAAGCATGCGTCGGGATTCCAGTGCAACAGCTGGTCTGAAAACTGAGGTGGCTAACTCATAGGTGGTAGATAAAGGGTAGACACATTGGGCAAGGAATGATTGTGTCCCTCTTTTTCTTGGGGGGAAAGGGGTTGAGACAGGGTTTCTCTGTGTAGCCATGTCTGTTCTGGACCTTGCTCTGTAGACCAGGCTGGCCTCGAACTCACAGAGATCTGCCTCTGCCTCCCATAGCTGATAACTGAATCAGATAAGGACAGACCCTTAACGGGTGCTGGCGCTGTGCCCGAGACATCCAGGCTTTGCTTGTGACTTCGGTCATCTCTTCCTTCTTGTCTTTTCACCTGTAGAGCGGGCCGATAGGAGTCTCTGTTCACAGGGCTGCTTTGAGAGTTAAACCAGACTACACATATGGGGCGATCAGCACAATGTGGGCACAGATTAAACATTTGGTAAATGTTAGCTGTTATTACTCTTCCGGCTACTGCACAGTTTGGTTCGGCTTGCTTAAATGCCTTTGTGCTGGGCCCTGGACCTGCAGAAAGAGAAAGGAGCACAGCAAGGTTCACGGCCTGGGTGTGGCAGCGCGTGCCTAAGGATGCACTCGCACGAAGACGCTGAGGCACTGTGGGGAGGTGTGACTGGTTATGGAGGCTTTAGAGGAGAGGAAAAGGGGGTGTTTGGGTTAGATATGGTCTTGTTGGACCGGTATGTGCCAAGGCTATGTGGCTTATTATCCCAAAGAGTTTCATGTGATTGAAGCAAAAGCTGGTGGGTGGTAAGGGCAGAGTGAGTGGCTTCAGAGCTGGGGGAGGCAGAACGGCCCTGTTTCTGTGGAAGAGCTTCACCTAGTCTTGCTGGTTGGTGGCTGGGACTAGGGAAAAGCAAGCAAACCAGGAAGGGTTGGATTTGCATTTCAAAACAGCTCCCCAGGTGGTGGGAACTGCTGGCTTAGATAGAGGGGGAGGCTTAAGGACCTGGATAGAGACAGGTCCTGATAAACATCATCAGCTGTGTGCATGTGCCCGCGCATGTGTGTCTGCATGCGTGTGTGCCTGTAGGAGCCCGGAAGTCAAGTGGCCCAGGGAATGGACTGAGATGTCTTAACTCCACAGCTGCTTGGAGAGTGGGAATCCATAAAATAGAGCTCTAGATTCCGGGTCTGCTTCTGTTTGTTACCCTCCTGAGGCCACAGCTGGGGGGGGTGGGGTGGCCCAAATTCTCTCTGTTCTGGAAGCCTGATGTTCACTGTCAGCCAGGCGGTACCTTCTTTTCCAGAACTCTGCTCCCCACTGGCTTCTGGAGGAAGCCAGCAGTTGTGGCCTTGACTTGCTTGCCTGGTCTCCTACTGTAGTCGCCATGTGACTTTTTCCCT